CAGAGAGTAGAAGGGGTAAGGGAGCTCTCTGTGGCCTCTTTTATAAGGGCACTAATCCTATTCATGATCTAATCACCCCCTCTAAAGCCTGCACCTACTAATACTAACACCTTTGCAGATTACGATTTTGCCATTTGAATTTTGGGGGACACAAACATTTCAATCACAGCAAGATCCCAATGGAAAATTGTCACTTTTTTGGCTGCAACTATGTGAAGGGCCATTAAAATAAAGAGGCATTTATAAATAAAATAAAAATCAATATCAGAATAGTAGTATAGTGGCAATGTGTGTCTGGCAAGCCACTCAGTCCCAAATGTGCAGAACTAGGGGGAAAATAACTGAGGATATTAACTCAGAACATTATTAAGGTCCATTAGTCATTATATAAGGATTTTAATTCCTGCTTAATTAAACCTGAGTGGAAATTTTCCATATCACATGAGATTAAAAACCCTTTGCGCTCCTTAACACTGTACATTTTCATAAAGACCAAAGGGAAGAAAAGGATTCATGAAATCACATACACAAAGCTTTATGAATAAAGAGAGAACTTTAATCATGTAGCTTTAGTGCTAAATACATAAACCAAAGCAACTTAAGTGGTTATTTGCAATGTCTTAGTCTCATATTCTATTTTAATATCCTGAGTATAAAGCTTCCTGCTCATTTAAAACAATCTATTATATTACATGAGTTGCATGAAGATGATAGTGTTAGAGGAATTGTTTCTGGATGCTTACTTTCACTTAGTCTTACTATCTGCAAGGATAAGCTGACATGATTCTCATCTTTCATTCTCATCTCTAATGGACCATCTATAATGGACTCTATGGGGAACCTAAAAGAGTTGTAATGCACATATACCTTAGTTTTAGTTCTACTGTAACCATTAGTAACTTTAGTCAATTAATTTCTCTAAGTTTCGGTTCTCCCATCAATAAAATGAGAATACTACAAACTCTCTTGTACGATCTTTAATAAGATGATACCTGTCAGGTGCTTAGCATTATATCTGAAAACAGCCAAAATGTCAGCTATTAATAGGATTAGGTCACCTAGTAAGTAAAATGTATTAGAGGACTTTTCCAATATGGTTAAATAGTAAAGCTGTTAATTTGGATGACTGAAAATATTTACCAGGAAAATTCCTTGTAAGGTGAGTTTTCAAATGAGAATGATTCCAAAATATACTTCATTCATTCACTTTTTCATCCATTCAAAAGGTATATCATCATCCCACTAAATAGGAGGGATTTGAGTATGAATAAGACAGACAAAATTCTCTGCTGTCATAAATTTTATTTTCTAACTGGATGAGACACCATGAAAAAAAGGGGTGGGTGGGTGTGAGTGTGTGCACGAGATGTTTGCAAAGGCCTGAAGTGGAAGCTATTGTGGCATTTCCTGAGTCCAGCCAGGAGCTGAGGTAGCTGGATCAGGGCAAGCAAAATGGAAAATAGAAGGGGATAAAGTGAGACAGTTGATGCAGAGCCAGGTCACATGGGGTCTTTAGGAGACTGGAAAGTCTTTGGCTTTATCTCCAAATGAAATGAGAAAACTTTGCAATGTTTTGTGCGAAGTGACATAATGAAACTTAAGTTGTAAAAGGACTTCATCACTTCATCTAGAAAATTTGAAACTGTTGACCTCAAACAAAAAGCTATCAGTTATTTCACCAACATGGGTTTATTTGAACAAAAAGGCAATTTGGAAAGTACAGTCTTATGGTGAGACACTAGTGCTCTCCCCCAGAACAAAAAGAAACACCCCCTTATTTACCCCGTCCAGGGACCATTACTGTGCATTAGGGACCTTCCCTCTTCCTACTTCTGAGGTGAGGAAGCAATATCACTTCCGGTTGGAGAGACAAGGCAGGCTGGGTCCTGTACTTTGCTGACTATGCCTGCCTGGGGACTCTCTTTTAGCCTCCTGATGTCATTTGCACAGGATTTCTAGATATTGATTTTCACAAAACTAAAAGCAGTTTCAACAGAGGGCCTGGGTGCAAAACGGTATAACATCAGAACCACTGCCTAGTGGAAAAAGTGTTTTAAAAGTCACCTTGTTGATGCAGTCATCTATTTTTGGGCATTTGGGTTGTTTCCATAGCTTAGCTATTGTAAATAGTGCTGCTATAAACATAGGGGTGCAGGTGCCCTTTTCAATTAATGATTCTGTGTCATTTGGGTAAATACCTAGGAGTGGAAATGCTGGATCATATGGAAGGTCCATCTTTAGCAGGTTGAGGAATCTCCACACAGGTACATATACACAATAGAGTATTACTCAGCAATCAAAAAAGATAAACTCATGCAATTTGCAGCAACATGGATGGAGCTGGAAGGGATCATGCTTAGCGAAATAAGGCAGAAAGAAAAAGAAAAATACCGGATGGTCTCACTCATAGCAGGAATCTAGAAAACCTAAATAAGGGACCAGGAAAAAGACTAATTATAATAAAGCAAAAATCAAAATCATCAAGCAACTATAAACCAGAGACACACTACAGGGGGTGGGGGTAGGAGGGATTATGGTCAAAATACGGGGGTGGGGGGGGTGGGAATTGTATGGGGACTATCACCAAGATGAAAATGCACGTATTGTGCAAAAATGAAAAATGATGTAAAAAATATATAAAATAAAAAAAAAGTCACCTTGACTCTAACAAAACCCTAGGGAGATGTGGGGGTAATAAAATAACTCCTTTTCTCAGCCGTGCTTGTTTTGTACTAGTTGGAACATGGGCCTAACATAGTTAGAACACAGGCTTAGCACAGTTAGAATGTGGGCCTAACATTTTCAATTATCTAAAAATAAAACAAAACAGATGAGGAGTCAGTAATGTTGTTCCTATCATAAGAGTCCCATGGTGTTGGTCTCAAATGAATCCCAGTAAGAGAGAGCTGAATATTTTACATTGAAATGTGAATTGATCTGTGATCAGCGGTTGGTAGTTACAATATTAAAATGTCATTCACTCAGTCAGTGAATATTTATTAAATGTTTACTCTGTGTCAGATGCTGGTATAGGATCTTGAAAGTCAGCATTGAACAAAAAAATAAAAATCACAGTTACTGGATTTTAATTCTAGTAGTAGGATACTGAAAATAAGCAAATAAATGATGTATCAACTATTGATAAACACTGTGGAAAAAAAAAAACACTCAATAAGGGCATAGGGACTTTAGAGGGAAGATTGGTTGTGTTCAAGAGACATCTCCATAAAATGTGGAGATACATTCCCCATTCCCTGGCCCCCACTTACATGCCTATTTCTAAACTTTGTTGCCTCATCCAGCCCCCACCCCTCTTTTCAAGTTAGGCAGCAACAACAGTAAATTATATGCTCATCCTACCTGTGGAACACTTAAAACATAAAATGAAAATAAAGGGATGGTAAATTATATGAGGCAAATGTAAACTGAAGAAAAGGTATGATAGCAGTTTTATATCAGAAAAGATATTGAAGACAAAACATCAAAAAAGACAAATGGGATAGTATTTTCTGATATCAGGGAAAATGGGTCAAGAAGATAGAAGGATCATGGAAAGAGTAATACTGGCACCTTTCTATTGGAAAGTGATGGCCAGTGATACAGAGAAACCTCTAATTAATTGAAAGATTTAAATAACACATAAAAGAAGTGATTTAAAAATAGCTAAATGCGGGCCTTCCCTGGTGGGGCAGCAGCAGCCTCTGCAGCGCTGGTTTGACCCCTGACTGCCAGCGAGGGTCCCATATGATGCGCAGACCTCTCCTGCCACACCCGCTGCTCCCCTCAGCAGTGTACTTCGTCAGTCTGCCTGTCCTGTTCCCCACTCTGGCTCTGGTGAATTCGCTCACCCTCCCGCACTTCTGACTGTGCCCAGTGCTTTTATAAATAAACAAATCTTGAAAAAAAAAATAAACAAAAAAAACATTTATAAAAAAATAGCTAAATGCATATAGTTACAGCAGACACCCTGGGTTCAAATTCCATCTCTACTGACTGTGAAACTTTGGGAAAAAGAATTAACATATTTTTGCTTCAGTTTTTTTAGTGAGGACTGAATGAGGCATAGACAGGGCTAACACATTCATTATTATCATCAATAAATACATAAATTTATACCTATCAGTGAATATAATTTGTTTTCAAAGATATAATTGACATCTAACTATGTATTCATATTAGGTGTGCAAAAATATACATTATCTTTTAACACAAATGGAACATTCACAAAACTCAGTCATGACACAAGTCTAAATAAATGGTAAAGAATAAGCATCGTGCAAGGTATGTTCCCCTGACCGTTACAAAATAAATTCAGATATATATGAAAAGACAGGACCTAAAAAGGAAAGATATACTAAAAAATAACACTTGCATTTACAAGTATAAAATAAGAGAAATAACGGAATACTACAATGGTAAGTGCAAAATGTGTGGAAGCAGAACCATACAGATTATGGTAGCCACAGGCAAATGAACTGCCATGGATCATAAACTGGAAGCTACTTCCAGGACTGGGCTTAATATGCTGCCACTTCTGGGGCTGAGCTTAATATGCTCCTACGCAGCACACGGCGTGTTCCTGAGCAGCACGGCTCGTTTCCCCACTGGGGGATTTCCACATCTGCTCTCATAGATACATGTTGTGTAGTTACTCTGTGTGGTATGCTCTGATTCTGTACAAGGAGGGCAGCTGCCAGCAAGCCTAGCTTAAATTGGCAATGTGGGACTTTGGTTATGTAACATCTGTCTCTTTTATTATAAGGTTAAGGAATAATATAAATTTAAATTTTCCGTTATAAAAATGAACTTCACTGAGGCTGTTGTCAGACTCTTGCTTGCTAGTATCAGCTGCTAAATCTTCAGCCACTGGCCCCTGTTCTCCCATTCTGTGGGGGTACTCATATTACAAGACCCTGGCCCTAAGGTAGGCCTTGCTTGTCTCCTCCAGCTGCCCACGGGTTAATAGAAATTCAGCCCATCATCCATCACCAGTGACTCACCGTCCTTCCACCCTGCGGAGGCTTCCTGTCTTTGAGCAATGGCTCCAGAACCAGCCACAGAGACCCAGATGGCAGAAGACTGACCTAGGACTCACACTGAGACATGGGAGGTGTGAACATGTGTGAGTCTTTTTTGCCCAGATCCCAGTATAACCTGACCCAAAACATGCCCCTGGATACCCCACCCTCGTAACCAGCCCCATAAAACTAGGACCCCCGCTGCTCACAGATTTCTCGTGGCTCTAGCACCCTCGGTACCCTTCTACTGTGATTCACAGTAAACGTTCCAAGCTTGAAACCTATTGGTTCTTCGGGATTAACCGGTGAAAGCAAGACATTCAGGATCTGTAACATTATGTTTGAATTTACATGGAGTATGTGCAAAGGTAGCTAGAGGATAAAAGGAAAGACAGGTACCAGCACGAATGACTTTCAGAGGTATGGGAGCACACCCCCAAAAGATTCAAAGAGATTCTTCAACGTGCCTAGAATAGGACTCTTGTCACATTGGTATGGAAACTAGAGGTCAAGCAGGGCTCTGTGAGCCTCAAGATGTTTACTACCTCTACTACATGAGTACAGATTATTGTGGTGGAAAGCAGTGAGGACCCTGAAGCTAGAAGAAGCTTCTGCACTTGCCCAAGTCCTTCCTCCCTCCTTAATCACAGAAAAGAGACCAATGTGTTCTAAGCTTCTGCCCTTTTCCTAATCAGAGGAGTAATCCCTTCTTTCCCCTTTATGACCTAAAAGGATGTACTTTGGGGTCTCATCCAATCCCGGGTTTATCAGTAAACATGCTCTCTCCTAAGAATCTCATCTCCACTGTAGAGTGAGGATGAGGTCATCCCGTCCTGGTCTGTCCCTGATGCCCCCGGTCCTAAAACACAGCATAAATATCCCCGGGCTGCTCCATTATTCTTTAGAATTTATAACCATGTGAATTCTCCATACGTATGTTATTAAATTCATTGCTTTTCCTTTGCTAACCCATCTAATGCTGTTTTGATTGCTCATCCAGCCTGAGAAGAACCCTGAGGGATATGGGATGATTTATTTTGCACCCCAGCAGTAAAAATGTATTTCAAACTAGTGTCAAAGATAAAGCAAAGCCAGACTCAGTTAAAGTGGTAAGGATAGATTTTAATCAGTAATACCCTATTGCGGTAAAGGAGAAAGTCCAGTGTGAACAGAACTCAAGTTCGATTTGTACAGAGATGCTGGGTGTTTTATTAAAGAGAGGACAGGCAGGAAGGGGGCACCAGAGATTGAATAGAAGAAGGAATAGACAAAAAGCAGAACAGAGTGCATGTGAAATCAATCTGGGTTTGCTAATTGGCATTCTTCAAATTAGTTTCCTCCCATCCCACAGAGAATGGGAGGGGGGACTTTCCTCAGGTGTTGCTTGGAACAAGCGATACTTTCTTTAGGCAACCTTGACTTTGCAAGCAAGTACTTTTAGGAAGGTGCTGGGGCATAGAAGAATGTGCCCCATCTGGGTTATCTGGAGGCTGGGTGGGTGAGCAAATTAACATCAGACAGAGGAGAAAAGGCCTAACTTGAATAACATACATATGGAGAGTTTACCTGGTTGTAAATTCTAAAGAGTAATGGGGGGGGGGCAAGGCTGCTTCATCCACCCAGTGGAAGGCAGAAGGAGGTTCAGGCCTCAGGGTGCTAACTTCCACCAGGGGGGAGAGGTTCTGTTTAAGGCGCCAGCCTATGGCATGTAATTGCACTATGATTCGTTGGGGGGCATCCACATTGCAATAACACCAACATAGCAGGCGAGTGGTGGTAAAAGGGGGAGGACACAAACTGTTAAGACGAGGGTCAGGAAAGCAGCAAGAGTGGGTGGCGTGGAGATTTGAACATCCTTCGAGGCATCAGCTCTGGGAAACAGGAAGCCTGCTCCCTTGAGTGTGACCTCCGGAGACTGTCGAGAAGGCTTCAGACGCCCACGGGCATTGAGTGCAAAAGCATCTGAGAGTGCCTTGTACGGGTGCGTTCTTGCTAGAGGGCAGATCAGTTAGCAGGCAGAATGAGGGACACCCTGAGACCCCCAAACCTGCCTGCTCTAAATGGGTTCTGCCATCTGCTGCACAAAGACAAAACACACACTTAGTGTACATCCTGGTGGGGACCCACAGGCAAGGGGCAGAAGGGGCAGAAGGGGCAGGCAAGTCTGGACGGAAAGGAGCAAAATCAAAACACAAGTCACGACAAAGGCGGCATTGCCAGCCTCCCCACGGGGCTCTCACCCGCGTCTCTCTCTCTTCCAGTGTCTCCTTCCATGTCCCCCGACTCCCTGGCGCAAGTCCCAGGCCGAGAAGCAAGCGGGGGCTTCTCCCTCACATGGTTGTCTGCTCTGTGCCTCCTCCAAGCCTTCTCTCCTGCGTCCTCCGGCCCAAGTCCTTTTTAAGCTCCTCTGACCACCCAGACCCTCGCTCCGTTAGGTGGGGCAGGGAGCGTGCAACCGCCCCCTTTCAGATTACACTGTTACAGTTGCCACTGCTCATGCCTTGCTTCGGAGCCCAGTTACAGCATCAGCAGTTTGGTGTTACTGTGCCTTGTTCCGGCCCGGGGGCGGGCGGGTGGGGGAGCTCTCCGTTTAACTCCCATCACCGACGACAGCGCCCCTTAGACTCCCAGAACTCAATGCACACTATTTCTCTAGCTGCTCCCAGGACTCAGTCCTTTCTCTTGTTTCCATTTTGTTTCCTTTCGTCCATCCCTTGCCCTGTAGGAAGCAATTTAAAGCTGCTGAAGGAAGATGACCTCCTAATAATTAAATTTGATTTTCAGTCATCTTGTACTCTTGGCTGTTTAAGTTTTGTTCAGACCATGTAAGTGAAAATGAGGAGAGAGATAAAGGTATGGATTAGATAGATGACAGACAGACAGACAGACAGACAGACAGGTGACAGTCCTGAAAACTTGGGCTGTGGGTAATCCTGAAGAGCAGTTAATCCAGAAATTCCTTATTCATGAATCATTGAATGATACTTTGGTTAAATGACGTCTTTTATCTGTGCTTGTGGTCGCTCATATTTGCATTTCTTTCTAGCACAAGAGAGACGCCACATAGGAACCCTTGACTCCAATCCACAAACTTCACACCGCGAAAGCCAGGACTCATAGACCCTAACGAATAGCCGTGGGAATTGCCTTGCTAGGATTCTGGAAATGTCTCAAAATATTTCTTTGAGATGGGATTGATGGCAGAAGCGCCCGCCCAGGACACCACACCCAGGGCAGAGCAGTAGCTCCCCGGCCTGTAACAAATGCATCATTCTGACAGCCGGAACCTGGGGACCGAGCCAGGGCTCTTTATGCAACTTGCTGTTTCAAAACATGTAAAGGGAAGGAACATTCGTTCTATGTGTCTTTCTCTCTGAATTTCTTTGTAGTTTACTGGCAGGTGACCATATGGAGAAGGCTTATTTTAAAAACACCATGTCTGAGGGCTTATTAAAAATAGGAATAAATCTTGGAAAGGTAAGAGATGCTGGCACTGGACATATGTCCTGCATTAACAGTCAAGTCACTGGAAAAATTTCAACTTCTCTCTGGCATGCTTTGGTGCTAACAGCACATTTCTGGAGACTAAATAAGTTGTGTGAATCCATAGTAATTAAAGAAAGGGAAAACAGCATTTCCTCAATGTCTTATTAGCTACCTTACCAGGAAATAACTTCTAAAAATGAGACTTTTCCTTTGGCAAACAACTTCTCAGAAACACATTAATCCCCACAGGAAGCAATTAAAATAGGTAAAGTCCAGGAGGCCTGCTAGAAGAAGGTGACTCTTGTATTTCAATACGTGCCAGCATAGAAGGGACCAGAACCAGAGTGTGTCCTAAGGGTAATTAAGGTCACATAGGTAACATTTACTGAGAATCAGTCATGGCAAGGACATCTTCTAGATGCTTCGCATGGACCTATTCTAGGTACTCAGGAAATACCTGCCGATTGTATAAGTATTATATGTTGTAACCATTTTCACAACCTGAAGGAACATAAACTAAGCATTCTAATAATATATCAATAAAGGCACCTTGTGCCCAGTGGTGTTCAGAGAGAGGAAGGCCCATGCCCAATCAAGGTCAAGTAACTTGGAAGCCAGTGATCAGTTTACACTGTACATATCCATTAGGTTGGGATTATTTTCCTTGTCTTATACTTGAAGGAACTGAGATTCAGAGAGACTAAGAAACTTGCGAAGTCATCCAGAAAATAAACGGAAGAAGGAAAATGTAAACCAGATGTGCTGAGGCTAAAGACTCTGTTAATAACTTCAAGACCACAGAATGATGTAGCAAAATTAAGCCGTTGCCTGCATGCCCACGATCTCTCCCTATATTCACTTTCAGTAGTCTCTATGACCCTGGCCATCTCTTCCACCTTGACTGAAATTCTCACAGCTTCTACTGGTTACAAAGCAAATGAGGATGGTGCATTATCTACGGAATACACAGTCAGTCTATGTGCTGGAGTATTGGGATAATTACTTTTATCAATTTAACTAGACCAAGGGAGGCCCAGATCGCTGATAGAATATCATCTCTGGGTGTGTGTGTGAAGGTGTTTCTGAGACAGATTAGCACTTGATTCAGCCGACTGAGGGAAAGCGCATGGCCCTCCCAATGCAGGCAGACACCGTCTAATCCATTGAGGGCCTGATAGAGTGAAAAGACAGAGGAAGGGGGAGTTTGTGCTCTTCCGGAGCTGGGATGTCTGTCTTCTGTTAGCAAACATCAAAGCTCCTGGTTTTCAGGCATTGAGACTCGGGGACTTACTTGGCATCTCCAACCTTTCAGGTCCTCAGGCTGTTGCTCTTACATTGGGAGTTAAACCATTGTCTACCCTGGTTCTCCGGCCTTTGCAGTAAGGCTAATTATACCATTGGCTTCTAGGCTCTCCAGGTTGCACATGGAAGATTGAGGGACATCAATCCTTCCATAATCAGTCGAGTCAATTCTTACGATAAGTATTATATATAGCTCTTATATTATGACTAATGTAAGTATTAATTACCAGATCAAACATACAAGCCAAGCTCTACCATTAGCAGACTGGCCAATTTTTGCCTTGTGCCTAAAAGGATAACACATATAAGGTGTGCATTTGGAAATGCAACATGAATCAAAGGTATTAAATACAGGGAAGACAATTTAGAATACTTCTGTGAAAAGAACTGATGACAGTCTAGGTGGATACAATTGGAAGGGAAAGTATTCACAAGAGAATCATGACGAAAGTATGTGAGAAACATAATTTGTGATATACATATGTGTAATTCTAAGTTATCAGACTTCCACACATGCTAAATTGAGGTATGTGTAATGACTGAGACAAAAAAAAAAAAAGGATTTTACCTTTAAAAAAAGTAATTTGCGGGCCTCCCCAGTGGTGCAGTGGTTGAGCGCTGGGTTGCGAAGCTGCCCACAGCCTCTGCAGCGCCAGTTCGATCCCCAGCCACCGGCGAGGGTCCCACATGGCGAGCAGACATCTCCTGCCGCCCGCTGCTCCCCTCAGCAGTGTACTTCGTCAATCTGCCTTCTGCTCTCCCCTCTGGCTCTGGTGAATTCTCTCACCCTCCCATGCTTCTGACTGTACCCAGTACTTGTATAAATAAATAAATAAATCTTAAAAAAAAAAATAAAAAAAAAAAAAAGTAATTTGCGCTACCTTTGAGGCTAAATATATAAGATCAAGTGTGACCTTACTATAAAGTTATTTACACCATTCATCTCAAAGATGGTTTCCATTGGGAGAAAAAAAGATTGAATCCATAATATTTTAATCTATTGCCGTTGGTGTGCATAAGTCACACGTTCCCACGCTGAGTGTTTGCATATTGATTGTAGCGTGACCTTAACAATTTATCATTTAGTCTCATACCATCACCTTTCATGATAAATGTTACAGCTAAGAGTCTAGCTGCAATTTCATTATAAACCTTACGTTTCAGGGTTTCATAAATAAGCAGTCAAAATCTACTGCAGGCTATGGGATGTTTTAGTTTGCATATCCATATTATCATTTCAGTTCCATATTGTGACTTACATCCATCATCTATAGAATCATTTTCCTTTTCAGAGGCAGTTCCTATAGGAAACCATTTTAATGACCATCAAGTGACAAGAAATCTTGCAAAGAGAAGGGAAATTTCTGAAATCTCATTCCTCCCAATATGTAATATATAAATACATAAATTGAATGAACACATGAATAATGCATCGCCTTCTCTGTGATCTACACAAATGAGGTTTCCAAGTGCTGATAGAATTAATCAACACGCACATAACCTGACTGCTCATTGATGGTCAAGCATAGTCAGTATATGCTTAATGAGAATATGACAAGTAATCTAAATATTGTGAAAGATATAAAATTTAAGTCTATGCCCATGTCCTCAACCAGCTTACCATCTAAGACGGGAAGGGGAGATATAGGGAAATCCCATTCTGGCATGGGATTTGATATCTTTCCTTTCTCTTTGCATGCTAAATATCAAAGAAACAGTATTATATGAACTGAGAAAAGAAAGAAGATCTATTTGTCAGGGTCTATCCAAATACATCTCCTCTGTCCAGCTACCCAAATAGCTACTGGAGAGAAGGGTAGGGTGGCTCAGGCAATCTTCAAATCGCTCTCTGCCTAACATACAGTCAAGCACCCACGATATTTAGGTCAACACAGACTGTATGTAAGATGTATGTATGTAGATGTGGCCCCAATATACAGCCTAGCTGTAATAGGTAGGGTCTACCATCTAGGTTTCTAAGTACACTTGATGACATCTGCACAGGAATGGGGTTACCTAGTGACACATCTCTCAAAACACACTCCTATCATTAAGCTATGATGGTCTAGCTGAAGTATGGGATACTTCTGGTCCTGCCTTGTGGACTGCTACTACATGAAACACTCACCTCTCAGCACCTACTTATATCCATTATGTTTCTGCTCATACAAGCACTTCCTTTTGCCTATGGTGCTTCAAGCAAAATCTCTTTCTCTGAACTTAGCACAATTAAATTTTACCAAGTTTCTTATTTCTCTGTTTCAGGATCTTCATCTTCACAATGCATGATAATGTTTATTCTATGATTAGGGCAGGCAATGTACATAAAAGAAAGGTGCTCTATTAAAGGCAGTAATAATGGTGATGAATAACATTCTGTTATACTTATTATAGTTAATATTACAAAACTTGTATTGATAGGGAGAGTGGGTTGAATAGAATTCCTTCATAATTCATGTCCACCTAGAACCTCAGAATGTGACCTGGTGCAGCAGTGCCTCTGACTATGCAGGTGCTTTCTTTCATCAACTCTCTCCCTCTGCAGGGCATCAGCTCTTTGTCTTCTTATGACTTACATCCATCATCTATAGAATCAT